GTTTCCTTTTATCTAATTACATTATATTTTGGGGCAATAAAGGCGCACCGGTGAACTTTCCATGTTAGCTTTAATTGTGTGTGCAATTTTATATGCATCTATGGCAGTACTTATTTAGGGAAAACAGAAAGAAAAACACACTTTTGATCCTCTGAACATGTACCCAAACTGTAGTGTCTGGATTAGTGTAGTGTCTCTTCTGTTGTAACAACAGAAGACGAGGGCCAGGCAATGGATTGTTTATTGAGGAAATCAAGAGGTATTTATAAATTTTTATGTACATTGTTGTTAGCGGAGAAGCAGCCTGGTTGTTTTCTTGCCGAAGGTTATTTCGTTATCTATTTCTGACCGTTTCTCAGAAAATCATGCCATATAACTGTGAGTCGTATTTCCACACGTTAACTCCGCTGTGATTGACTGGTGATTTTCTCAGGGCCAAGCTTTATTATTGTTTTTCTCATAACCCTGATTAGGGACGTGAGCATTGATGTAAATTGTTGTCTACAGTTGTGGCTTTCCGCCAACTCTTACCACACAATTATTGACAAACCACTTGCTGATATGGGTTGTGAGGTGAAATCTTTTCAGATAAACAATAGATAATATGACTAAGTTTCTCACAGGTCTTCCGGAGCAACCACTATCAAATGTTTTAAATCCCATTTATGGATTCAACAAAAAGCAGTCATGACTCTTTCTTTGCTCGTATAAATCAATGCTTAGACCTCTTCTTTCGGTATAAAACTATAACTTACTCTTAATTCTGTTTTTACTATTAGAATAAATCAGGATAAGAGCTGTTGCAAGGTTTTTTCACTCACACTGAAGCAAACGCCACAATAGATATTCTAGTTGTGTAAAAAGGCTGATAAAACTCTTATAAAACAGTCAAGCTTGGTATCTGATGTGATAACTGCATTCCTTTGAGCACGTAATACAAAATCAAATCAGACTAATTACTCGAGGGAATTCAAATCATAACTTTCCGATTCTTATCTACCTATTCAGGTATGCTGAAACGAAATCACGGCTAGTTTGTTTAGCTATAATTTTGAACAATTTTCAGTATTACGTCACTTATCACCTTTATTTATTTCGTTCATTATATAATTTAAGAAGAAAATTGAGCTAAGAATGTTCTTTTCGATAATTTCCTCTTCTGACTCCACAATTATATCTATATTTAGATACGCAGAATATTCTGGAATACTCGTTGTCAACAATATCGGTGTTTTTTCAAATATTATCGATTTGTTAATTAAGATCAATGGAATTACAGTTCAAGAAAGACTCTTAAGTTATAATATGCATAAAAATCTAACAGTAAATAGAAAATCAAAGAAAATTAGGGAAAATCTCTACAAAAAATTAAGGATCATCAGAATTTTGATGGTCAAGGTAAGGACATTGTCTGAACTAACCAACCTTCCTTGGATGCATAATTCAGGTTTCTTAATATGCATCCCAACGGCCAGCCTCAGCAATATGTGCTAGATGAACTCTTAAGGTGAGGTTAAGATTGGTTGGCATGCCGTAGATGAATTTGAAAGCCGCCTCGTTGACATCAATCTTGTGTTCTGTATCAGCAAGATGAAAAAGGATACCGCTATGAATGGATATTGTTTGTCAGTTACTAAACCGCACAGGATGATGTTCGGAAATCCGACGATAATTTTTGCAATATTGTCTTATCATAGTTATCACCTTGTCGCGTTATGTAGCATTTGCTTATTAATCTTATTATTTCTACATTCCTCTGAGATTTATACATTTCACGAACTATTTTAAAAACTATACAGCCAATTACTTTTTTGTTACAATTCATATTACAATTAAAAAACCATATGTGTGTATTTATATGTATACAGTTGTATAGCCTGATGATAAATTTGTTGAAAAGAGACTCTTTGATGAATCACTTGTTGTGATTTTCTACATAACCTTTATACTCAATCATTATCGTAGTCTGCTGTTGACTGCCATCATGTTACTTTTCTCTGTATAAAGACTAAACGAAAATGCTTTTAGATAGTAAACAGCTGACGAGGCATCGATCAAATAAAATAACATCATGTTATTCTGTTGAAACCGTTGTTTTTGTCTTATTCCAAAAGGTGAATCAAAGAAAGCTTAAACATGTAATGTCTAAAATAACACTGTTATGGTAGAAAATGTGAATTTCGACCTGACTGACAGTTTTCTTTGTCAAAAATGTTATAAGGAACACTATGAAACACAATTTTTAATTTAGAGAAGATTTGTCATTGTTTCATTGTTACTGCCTGTAAATGGAAACATCTTCTAAGATTTCTTTCCATTAAGAGTCAGTGAATAGTTCTTAAATATGCGATTATATTGAGTGCACACTTCAACCGACTCATTCTGTTCTGCTTAGTATGGGATACACTTGCACACACTCCTTGGCCTTTAAGAAGTAAACTTCCAGGTGTTGTTCAAAGTTTCCACATTCTACTTCTATGTGGGAATTCCCTATGTCCGGAATTATTTATTATTATGGCGAATAAACTGATGATTCTTTCAACTTTTATTTGGAATATCTAATAACCTTTAGATCACCCATAATGCTCAGCTGACTTTGTATAAATCGTCGCCTTTTCTTAAGCATATACATTAACTTAAAAGCTTTAGGCTTGTATAACACCAAAAATGTTCAAAGGAATTATTTATTCTGGTTCCAGGTCATAAAACTTTAAACAAAGAGAATGGATTTTCAGGTTGTATGCAAAAATAAAAACTGGTAACCAGTAGTGAAATCAGTTTTGTCAGTGAAAACATTCTTATTGTCATTCATGACACTCAAAAAATAGATTATGCTTCAATGAACTTAAAAAGGAATATAGAGTAACTGTGTAGAAATCTGCTATAGAACAGAAAGGGGTAAACAAATTTACAAAAGTGTTCATGAAACAGTTACTTTGTTTCTTCAAGATGTAGAATAAAATGTGATTGGTGGATCAGAATCGATGGGAAATTCAAAGAGAGTTGGATTGGGAATGAGAAAATGGAATAGATTGATGCTTTAAGTTAAAATATTTAAAATGAATCTACATCATCAACTATACTTCAAGCGTCTTGATCATTCCTGATTACATAATTAAGATCAGAATTCATGTGAATTGTAGCTCCCCCAACATCCATTATATCAGTCTCCCAGACCTTGGGCTGTCACTCCTGATACATTATGGATTTATAAATATATCAAGAAAAAAAATTACAGATATGACATAGTGAGTATTCTGTCGCCTTACAACTTACCATTTTAAGTTATGATGCACATTTTATCCAACATTTCTAGACGCAGACTCTTGTTACATTTTATGAGTTACTGCGCTTACGTTAAAGCACTTTTTAACTAAACGCCTCCTAGTTTACTAACCATTCATAAGCCTGGGAAAAGAGGGAAGGTTGTGCGTGGGGTTATCGATCCTACTCCAGCAAAACCAGTCCAGTTGCTAGAGAAATTTCGAAGCACGGGAAAAGTATAAGATTAAACTTATCCTTTACTAGCATCGGAGAAAAAGAACGACTTGAGACGGTGAAAAACTTCAGGAAGCAAGTCAGCTGATGTGTAGATTTTAGATAAAACCAAAAGTATGCTCTGAGACATGTGATTTTCTCCCAATGTGCATAGCTAAAAATGGTGCTCAGGCTACCAAACAAAATGAGAAGATATGGAATAGAAGGACTATGAATCTGTTACGGCAGCTGGAACGTGAGTGAGCTTTCCAAGTTGTTAAATGGAGAGTCAGTAATCCACTTCAGCCACGCAGACGACATCGACGGGCAGAACGAGGCAGTGAGAAGCTATCACGATGTCACCAATAGTGAACAGCCAAAGCTACAATGCAGTGGGAATCAATTTCATCCTGGATTACAACAGCAAGATTCAACTCAAAAGGAAGAAAAGCTAGACTCATTTAATGCTACGCGCCTACATACAACTCAGAACAGTAGAAGAAGCAAGATTTCCATAGGCAGTTGCAAACATCAATGGACAATAACTTGAATAGCAACGTCAAACTCCGGATGCGCTGGATGAATGCTAAACTCTGAGCAGGCAATATCAGAAGAGAACTCATCATGGGTCGACAGGCTTTTGGAGAAATCAATGACAACGGAGATTTCTTCACAGATTTCTAAGCCTTCATTGATGTGTTGATTGGAGGTGGTGTGTACAAGCACAAGGGTATACACAAGGCGACATGGATTTCACCCGATGAACACACTGAAAATCAAAGAGACTATATCTCAATCTAAAGAAAGTAGGGATGCAGTCTGTAGCACACAAGACCTTGAACAGCAGCAGACGTTATCCTGTGCAAAGAATTGTCAAAGTCAATTTGAAACCTTCAAAGCAACTAGAGTCTAACATCCAGAAACTGAGGTACGAAACTACAAGGGATACATTTACTGAAGCCATGAGGAAAAAGTCAGACACATTACGTAGACCACCGAGGAAATCTATGTTCAAGAACGTCATAACTCTCTGAAGGTGGTGTTTAAGGAAACGTGTACAGCTGTTTGAGGAGGAAAGAAAAAGCAAAACAGAGAATAGCTCTCTACGGACACCTAGAAGCTTCTACAAGATGGGAGGATAGTGAGACTGTTATGAAAGGCAAAGGACAATCTTAAGACATACTGGTTTCAAATGAATTATTAAAAATAACTGTGGAAGCGAATTTATTTCCCAGTAAATATGGCGTTGAAAGTGTTCAAGAGAAACATCAAGAAGATCATGTGAGAAGGGGCTGAGGACTTATGGGCAATCTTGACTCGAGTTAAAGAGGATTGATGGAGAACTGGAAAGATGAATATGTGCTTGACACCTTCGGAACCTTTTAATTAACCTAAGACACTTTCCTGAAATAAGCAATATAAATAGTACAGATGACCCCATGGCACATCTAGTGAATTACTTCTTAGTGCATTTCTGCTGAACATCCCGCTGGTCTATGATTTTAAATAAAAAGACAAACAATTTATGACGTCACAAAAACCGCATTTTATTTTGTCTTCTTCTTAATAAATACAGTCACGCGGTCTGATCACACGTAATACAAACCGTTGACAGGTAAATAACAAAAACATATTGATTGATTAGAGGAAATAAATTACACACGTAAGTGTAAATTACTCATGACCAACAGTGAAATTATTTTCTCGTGATGATCCCAAATTCCAAGGGATAAATCTGAAGTTTGCAAAACTCTAGTATGAATTGAGTCCTAAGATAACATAGAATGATAAACCTGTGAATTTATTATTTTTGTCCAATAAAAATAGGTCATAAGAAGCCAGGGGAATTTATTGTGAGATATTTATTGAAGTATCCATTTCTTTAAGGCAAGTCAAAGGATTTTGAACCATTCAGATGATTGCCACTTTTTTCAGCTACTGGATACCTAAGTGGGAGAAAAAAAATAAAAACATGGTGCAATGCATTCAGTAATCAATAAAGAAATTATTAGGGCAAAGCACAACGAAAGGGAATCAAACAAATCCTTCCCTATGTGGTGATGAGGATATCTTCAGATAGGAGTTATGTACTTTTATCATGTTATTTTATAAAAGTTATAACAATTTCGTATTGTGGCAGAGGGTCTTTCAATACTATACTTAGCGCTCTAAAGCTGTTCAATCAGAAGATTACACAGGTAAAGTTATATCTGCTGCACAGAAATCTACAAACAGCTGAGCTACAACGAAAAGTAATACATACCTTCAACATTATTTTATATAGCAAGCATAAAACAATGACACTTTCTGGATTTCACGATGAGCTGACATTGGTTTGAGAACCATTGGAAAACCTGGTAGTACTGGACAGCCGTTTCGTCCCACTAGTTTGGGACTCTTCTAACTAATGTGACTTCATGATGAAATCCTGTAACCAATCAAATCCCTACAAACCAACACTTGAATGACACTTTCATAGAAAACTCAGTCACATATTATTTTTCTTAAAAGCCTTTCATACTATTTTCATGTTTATAGGTGGAAGAAGATAACAAGACAACAGCAACAACAACCAGTACGAATCACCACCAACTGGAGAGATTTAACACAGGTTGCCTCTTTCACTTATCTGAAAAGCATCGTTTCAACTACAGGCGGAACGGACGAAGATGTTGAAGTCAAAATCAAGAAAAGCAAGATACGTACGCCTTCATCAGCCTGAGACTAGTTTGAAAATCTCCTACACTCAGCATAAGGAGCAAGATCCTTATTTTCAACACCAATGTCGTCTGTTCTTCTCTACGGGTGAGAAACTTGAACTGAGCGTCACGAAAAGGATTTATAACAGGTTACTGCAGACTTCCATCAACGGCTGCCTTCGCTTGCTCCATACTAGAGATCAAATGGCCAGGAAGAACAAGCAAAAAGAAATTATGGGAACAAACCAACCAAGAGCCGATCGCTCAACGAATATGCAGGAGAAAGTGAAGATGAATGGGGCATACACTGAGGAGGCCACCGAATGACATCGCACGCCAGGCCATCGCTCGAGTGGAATCACTATTGGAAGCGACGATTGGGTCGTCGGTAAAAGACTGACATGGAGGAAATCGTGTGAGGAAGAGATGAGAGAGTTTGGTCAGTTTTAAACTCAGCTGAAGAGGACGGCGGAAAACAGAACAAAGTGGAAATGTGTTGTTGAACCCCTATGTTCCACTCGGCAATCAAGGGAATAATAATAATAAATAATAAGCGGAAGAAAGTGGACAGTATCATTCTAAAGATACCTGAAAATTAAATGACTGAAGAAATAAAGTTCACTTGCTCAAGGCAGGGGTTCATTTATGATCTAGTTTATTATACTTGGGAGTTTTAAACGTTACGAAACACAACAGAACAACCAATGATAATTGTAGACTAGTGATATTAACCACGTAGATCTGTCGCTGCATGGATCAACAACACTCTGAATCCCTGCATGCACTTTAAGAAGAGATAGGGAAAAAGTGTGGTTACTGAGGAGACAGACTTCGGTAGCAATAATAATGCTTATTTTCACAAGCTGAACTACGATTATATGGATAAGTTGTATAATATGAGGCTTCAGTGTCGAAATTAGTTATTTATGAACAGTCTGAGAAAATTACAGTCACAATAATTAGATGACATACTGTCATGTGAGTGAAAATTAGCTTAGAACTTTTAAACATGAGGAATTATGACAGATGAACTCAGAGATTGGTGCACCAAGTATTCGAAATAGTTCCATAAAAGTATACATCAGTTATTTTGTTGAAAGTTGGAATTGTTAGTCTTTTAGTGTTGTTGCACTGAAGTAGTCTTCTGAAAAGACACAACTGTTACTACATCAGGTAAGCAATCCACATTAATATGAATGAAACACTTAATTGCAATCTATTATATATCTTAACTTTAACTGAATCCATTCTATTTATCTAGTTGAACAGTTTAGAAAATACACCTAAGTATTGAAGAGAGGATTAAAATTAATTATGGAATTCAAGATAGGTTGAATCTTGGGCGTTAGCAACAAGTTGTTACATAATACAGAATTTTGAAAAGTAATGATGACTGAAAAGAATAGGATGACTCAAACGAATTACATAAAATACAAACAAGTTAACAAAGTCAGAAGGTAGTTACAAGGGGAGGGGTGAAAAATGGCTCGTAAAAACTTGACACATATTAAGTCGTTGACCATGGCGAAGAAAGGGGCTGTACAGATTTCTTTTGACCACACAGATTTGCCATGTTAAGATGAATTTCGACTACTTCTGCCATATGTAAAAGCTGTACTCGCAGACCATTCGGTGATATACGATACATAACTTTAGAAGCTTTGTTACAGTCGACTTAGTATACTGAGGATCAGTGAACATCTTGAATGGTCTACGAGCATGACTTTTACATATAAAAGAAGCAGTCTGAATTCATCTTAACAAGCCAAATCTGTAGGGTCAAAAGAAATCTGTACAGCCCCTTACTTTGCTGAAGCGAACGACATAAATAGTATCAAGTTTTTACGAGCCATTTTTCACCCCTCCCCTTGCAACTGTCTTTTGACTTTGTCAACTTGTTTGTATTTTACGTAATTCTTGTGAGTCATCCTGTTCTTCCTAGTCATCAATGTTTTACAAATTTCTTGATTAGGTAATAGTTTAGAAAATATCTTTATTCATCTATCCGTAAGGAATAAAAGTTATACTGAAACATGGTCTGATGAAATGTGTACACTCAACATTCTAATGGAAATCATTCCTGTGTTCAACGCATCCCAGTATCTTCAAATTTCATTTTTCTCCCTCTTTATTTTGTGCATATTCCAATGAAAGTGATTGTTGTTAATTTAGAGGTAAATTCAAGAATTCACTCATAGAAATAAATATGCCTTTTTACACCGACTATACAAGGGACAACAGCATCTTGAGAGGTCATCATATAATTGAAAAGCACTCATTAAATACACACTTACAGTTGATAAATCGAAATTATCAAAAGCTAAAAATAGAAACAAAAGGAAAATAAACTCACATGTTTTAGCACATCAACAACTTCTTGAACCATTTTGTCAACATTATCATTCACAATAACAGCATCAAATTTTCCTTCAGATATACCTATTAGAATTACACAAAAAATTAAATTATTACATGGAGGATCTTACTTACGCGAATGACTCGTAAGCTAATCATACTTCAGATGAACTGAAGTTTAATTTTTGAAAGTAATAAAAGTTACTCTAGTCGTCAGCTGAGCGATAACTACCATTTGTATGCATTCTATTTCATATCACTCGAAATATTATCTTACAGTATTGGATATCAAAAAACCTCGCATAAATTATTATTTATTATTGTTGTTCCCTTGGGTTCCTAGTGGAAAATAGGGCTTCAACTACACGTCTCCACTTGCTTCTGTCTTGCTTCTGCTGTACTTTTCACCTGCATCCATGTTAGTCCATACAGTTTCAACTCCTTTTCACACCATCTCCTCCATGTCACCCTTGCACTGACGCCCCACTCGCCACTTCTCTTTCGACCTGGTTCCACTCGAGCAATGGCCTGACGCGTGATGTCACCGACCGGCCTCCTCAACGAGTGTCCAATCCATCTCCACTTTCCCCGGCATATTTGTTAGGCGATTGGTTCTTGTTTTGTTTGTTCCCATAGTTTCTTCTTCGTGATTCTTTCCGGCCTGGCCATCTGATCTTCAGTACTGAGCAAAGACAGTTGTTGTTATAGGTCTGCAAAAGGCGATTGGAAATATTCTTTGTCACCCGCCCACCAAGTTTCTGATCCGTATAGAAGAGCTGACTGACTTGACGTGTTTGTTTTGAAAATCCGACCGAATTTTGTTGTTGATGCTGGCTGAGTGACGAAGATTTCCAGATTGGTTTCAGATTGGTTGATGAATGTGTTTCTCGCCTTCCCGCTGATTCTCGCTCGATTTGACATCCTCGTCCGTTCCGACTGCCTGTAGTTGAGACAATGCTCCCTAGATAAGTGAAGTGGATGAAGTAACCTCTTTCAAATCCCTTCCGTTGATGGTGATTGGCGCTGGATGTTGCTGCCCTTGTTTTTGTTGTTGGATGGTTATTTTCATAACCTCCATCTTGTCTATGTTCACCTGGAGTCCTGTCTTCACCGGCTGCCTCTTCGACCAGTTTGTCGGTTTTCGCTTGTGAGTCTTCGATTTTGCGTGACATCGAACATAAATCATCCACACGCGAAATCCAGGTCTTCTAGGTTCTTCACGTTGGTCCAGGATATCCGTGTCTTTTCGTTTCCAACTCACAGTCTGACGCATAATCCAGTCAGTCCGCCACAATTAGGAATATCATTGGTGATAATAAGCCAGCACCCTTGTCTGACTCGTGTGTTTACTCCAAACGCCTCACTGAGTTTTCCGTTGTGGATCACTTAACATGTGGTGTTGTTGTACAGCTGTTGAATAAGGTTGATGAATATTTGGGGTACGCCATAGTGCTCGAGTAGTTTCCAAATTACTTCGCGGTCAACGCTGTCGAAGGCCTTCTCGGAGTCTATAGAGTTGAGGTACAGATTTGATTGTTATTCCGTGCATTGTTCGATGATGATGTGTAGAGTTACAATTTGGTTGCAGTTTGGTCAGAACATGATTTGCGTTCCCTGAATCCAGCTTGTTCTGGTCGGAGTCCTGTCTCCAGTGCGTCCTTAATTCTCTCCAGGATGATGCGACTCAGGATTTTACTTGGCGTCGACAGGAGCATGATCCCTCTCCAGTTCTTGCAGGGTCCTAAGTCGCCCTTCGCATAAATACAAATGGTGAATAAGAAAGAAGAAGGTGCGATGGTCATCGAAGATGATATATTATCAAACATAACAAATGTAATTTGGTGAAAGACTTATTTTAGAAAAGTATTTCCATAACCCACAAAAAAGCGTTTAATCTCCAGTTCATATTGAAAGTAAACATCATTTCAATCAGTGAGTTTGTAAAAGGATTTCAATGGAATTTATAAGTGACGCGAAAGTTCTGCATAAGAATTTTGACTTCTGCTGATAATAGTTTCTAGGGAGAGGTTTGCCAGAAAGTAATAAGAATTCAACACATTTGTCATAATCGTCGCCCAAGTTGAAATGAAGACTTGAAAGCTTCAAAGTAGTTGCCAATATATGCGTCTCTTATATTGCTGTTTTTTTTAAATCCTCACTATTGGAAGTAAGTAGTCTAGGGATAGTGCTTGAAATAAAGTCAGAAGCTGTGCTGAAGTAGTTAACGCTTGAAAATTCATAAAACAATTATCACAACAAAAGTCTTTCCCTCATATTCCAGCTACTTAAGCCATAGTATCTAAAACTTTGCATATTTTCATGAAACCTCCAAATATCCCTTCCCTGCTGTTTGCAGATAAAAGGATCTTTAACCTAGAGAAAGCCACATTCCCCCATTATTCATTTATCATTCTTTTGATTGGACACTAATTGGTAACTAGCGTAATGTGTCTAGCCTATCTTTGGTGCAAACTAAATTCTATCAGTCAAGTTTGCAATGTGGCCAGGATTCTGGGTGGTTCGTCATCACGGTGCACCTTTAATTGGTGATATTAGATTGTTGGAGGCGTTCGGAAGAAGGACTTGGACCTTGGTCTCATGCTAGTTGGCACCATCAGTCGGCTAGGCTTAGCTGCAAACTAGAAGGAACTCATATCTCTCCTGAGATTCGAACGTGCGTCACCCAGTGCTGCAGTGAGAAATGTCACCACCAAGATATTCGAGCTCATGACTGGCTTCGTGTATGTCTGTATTGGATACTTTGATTGGACATCAGCTGGCAACAAGTGTAATGTATCTAGCCCTTTGTTTGATGTGGACTGAATTCTATCAGTCAAGTTTGCATTTTTATTTAGTTGAAATATATCTGAAGCTTTTTCATCATGCTTTGTTCTAATAATTTACTGAATTCAAATACATAGTCTAAGTGTTTGCCTTCTCTAGTTAAAGTGATCAGTAGTATGTTGCTTTATAGACGAATTATTCTATAAATCCTAGCACTGGAATATGTAAGTAAATAGAAAGTCTGTCCAGCCATTTACATAAACAGTATAGAAATACACAGAAACACTAACATGCTTATAAATGTAATTAATATAATTTATGTACACTGATAACTTACCATACTGCATTTCCTGATGTGCAACTGCCAATCTCTGGAGAATTCTATCCTCACTTTCCGTAGAACGAGATCGTAGTCGTTTCTCCTGAAATTAAATCATTACACATGATAACTGTGAACAGTCAAACATTACTGATGACCATATCAATCCTGACAACAGAACTTGCGTAATCAAATATCAAATTTCGAAGAACAATACACAACTGACTTCTGTTTCTAAACTTGTCATTTCTTAGTAGAATAAGCCTTGTGTAAACCTTTGAGAACTAGACAGCACACACAGTATTAGTGTGTCAAGTCAAAAGACAAGCGCACAGCAAGTGTCTGAATCCACTAGGCTGCATTTATTTATGTTAATTTAAGCTAATAGTCATTAAATCGAAACGATAAATACTTCAGAACTAATGCTTCTGAAACTGATACAATATTACTAGAAGATGAAGCGAAATTCACTCTTAATATCCACTATAGATTAATCTTTCCGAGTGTAAATATCAGTGAATTGAATTCAATCTTATACGCGTTTCTGCTAACACTTCTCAAGTACGTTTGTATAAGTCTGTTAAAAACTCCAAAGCCCCAAACTAGGACAAAACAGCTGTCCAGTACTCCCTTCAGGGTTTTTAATGGTTCTTTAACCGATGTCAGCTCATGATGAAATCCTCCGTATAATAAAATTTCCAAATGTTAAATATGTGCTCATTGAATGAATACTGAAAACAGAAACACGAAACAAATACTTGAAGCTTATCATCAATTTAAAATGAACCCCGAAAATTGCAGAGGTTTTCTTGTTTTACATCAATCTCTACTGAATTCTAAGGTTTACGATGCTGTTGTAATGAGTTAGAAACAAGTTCAATCCATTCTAAGACAAATAATATAGTTCCGAAAGAAATGCTCAAAGAATTCAAACAACCAGCTCGCTGTGTTCAAAAGAGGCAAGTCCAGCCCCTACTATTGTCTCGGCCTTCAGTAGATACTATAAACTCATGAGTTTGTAATATTATCCTTCCTAATTCTTCTGACATTCAGCTTATTTTATGTTGATACGATTCAGCTGTAATCTATCAATATTATTGATTTGATGCTATTTAAACATTAATGTCGTTCATCACACTAACTCATGCATTCACTATAATGTATGTATAAATGTAGAGCCTGATGATGAAGGGGTTATCGAAAAAAGTACTCTTTGTCCAGTATCCATTCTTCTAACAAATTACTTAATCAGGATTTGTTCAATATACTTGTGAATGTACAAGGAAATAATTTTGAAAATAAATAATAAACAGTCTACTTATTTAAATAACAATGTTAAAAATGTTCTTAACAGTACACCTTTTTGTAATCGTACGAACATTTTTTTAGCTGTCACTTTTAAAGCCTTGACCCCACTTCTAATACTTCATTCCCCTAGTCTAATTAAGGTATTTAACTAAGTTTACCATTGTCGATGGTTAATCATAGGAATGATACGAAAAGCTAATCAACAACTGCTTTGATTTCTGTAATATTCTTAACTCACGGGTATAGACATCAAGGTTAAGAAAGGATTAGAAAGTTTTAGGTGATTTGTTCAACTGTCGTTCAAAAGCGTCATTTTCGGACAGAATTCGTTATTTATTGAGAACATCCTTCCATTTAAACTAAAAGACTCGCTTGTTCATCATAATTTAAAAAACGCTCAGCTTAATATTTATACTTACAAGTATAGCAAAGCTTCTTGGACGTATAAAAATACAAATTGGATTGATACTTGTTTTCTGTAATTTTTCAACTCCTTGTATATCAATATCCATTAGGCAAACACGTTTCTCCATTTCTGCCTTTCTCAATTCTGATTTGCTGATTCATTACATAGTTCATAGAGAAAATATACCAAACAGAAAAATGAGAGCAATATAGGATAAAGTTCAAAAGGCAATTAACTAATAATTCATAAGATATTTATTGAAAATAAACCCAAATTCAATAAATACAAATAATTGGGTAACACAAATTCCCTAAAGCTGTCTGCACAAGATTGCTAATCAGTAATTCTATATTCAGTGATTTTTTTCTCGATATCGTTTTGCTGAAGATCTTACTTAATCCTACCACTGGAAGTTTCAGTAAACACCAGTTCTCCGACAAACGCAGCAGTCTTGAATGCAGTCAAACCGCTGAAGCATCAGGAGCAGACTGAATACCTCCTCAAATACTGAGATTTGCTTCGAAGACCTCAGCGAATATTCTGAAACCGCTATCGCAGAAAGTTTAAAAGTAAGGGAAGGTACACATTGATTGAAAGGAGTGTCATCTTGTCAAACTACCAAAAAAGGGTGACTTACACCTCTTCGCGACAGGTGGTGCGAAATTATGCTGTCGTTCACCGCAAGCAAAATATTAATTTGTGTCACATTTGAAGGACTAAAGATACAGAACTCTGGCAAGAACAAGCTGGATTCAGAAAGAGCAAGCCATTTACTGAAAAAATTGCAGCGATGCGCATCATCATCGAACAGGGCATAGAATGGAAGTCTAATCTCCACCTTGACTTAATCGACTTTGGACAGACATTGGATAATGACGTCCTCAAAAAAAGTTTCTATATTAATTCAACACTACAGATTGCCTCATGACATTATCAGCCTCATTTAATAGCTCAGTGATGTCAAGTGATTCATAAGTGGAAGCTTAGTGATATCACTGAAGCGGAGACAGGATTAAGACAGGCTGCCTTACTTCGCTTATGTAGTTCCTGATTGTGACAGAGTGCATCATGCAACAGACCCCGGGGAGTCAAGATACAAAAATACATTGGACCGATAAGAAGACTGTAGAAGATCTGCATTTTGCAGACAATTTATGACTCATATCACACAAACTTGATAATCGACTGGTCAAAACCAACAAGCTGGCAGTAGGAACAGTGAAGACAGTACTTCCACTAGACATAAAGAAGACGTATGCATTGCGATAAATCATCAACTACAAAATCAAGCACCAGTCACTGTCAATGGGAGAAATCTAAAGGAAGTCACTTTTTCCAATTATCTTGGTGGTATCGTTTCAACTACAGACATCACCGATGAGGACATTAAAACCAGAATTAGAAAGACAAGACAGATCTCCGCTACTCTGAAACGATATTGGAAACCCTATTCACTTAGTATAAAGAACAGTATTCGAACACACATATTCATCACAGGTCTTATATATGGTTAGGAAAAGTGACAAGCGCACCACAGAAGGCGTTTGCATTAGACCGCTGGCTTTTATCAACAGCTATCTTGATTTCATAGTGAATATTAGATGGTCAGGAAGGAATAGGAAGAAGGGATCCTAGCAACGGAGTAACAAATTCCAATCTCCCAAAGAATATGCTGAATGGAATGGAGTTGAATTTGAAACACTCTGAGGAGAAAACTGAGTGGAACCCAAAAGAGAAACAAGCTGGACGTCCAAGAGTGATATGGAAGAGACAGTGTCAGAAGGAGATATGAGCCTATGGGCGATCAAAAGGCCAGCTAAAATGGACTGGCAGAGAACAGTACTAAATTGGAATGTGCTTTTGAAACTTTGTGTTCTATTTGTAACCTAGGGGTATTATAGTATTTCAACTGTTTGATTTTTGTCAATAAGCAAAATCAGTTAGAGAGGTCACTGGAAACCAGAGGGCAATGGACAGCGGTTTCGACCTATTTCAATGCCAGTGCTCCTTCGTTTTCAATGGTCTTTCTAAATGAAGTTGGTTTGTGATGAAAGTCTAACAACTGAAATTGATTCAAGATCTCCACGAATACTATAATCTGAATTGTAGTATTACAAAAATATAATAACCATTGGAGATAATTATTTTTGGTCTGATAAATACCTCCATGGATATCCCTTATTACATGGGTTTATTCTATATAAAGCATTGTAGTCACATTTTAAACAAAGTTGTCCCGTAAGTGATACTGTATCGCTAAGTGTTAAATAAAATAACCGGGTTCGAATCCCGGTGGGTGCGTGCTGCTGAAGAGTCCCAAACTAGGACGAAACAGCTGTCCAGTACTCCCAGGTTTTCCAGTGGTTCTCTAACTGATGTCAGCTCATGATTAAATCCTCCATGCAATCAAACAAAATCCCTGCAAAACCAATATTATTATTATTATTGTATCCTTTAGTTCCTAGAGGAACATAGGAGTTCAGCTGAGCACCTCCATTGCCTTCGGTTTTCTGACAACTTTTTCACCCTGCTCCAGGTATGTCCACATGCTTTCATCTCCTCCTCGCATGACCTCCTCCAAGTCACCCTCACACTGACGACCAACTCGCCGCCTCCCTTTCGGGTTCCACTCGAGCGATGGCTTGTCTAGTGATGTCACTTGATGGTTTCCTCAGCGTATGGCCAATCCATCTCCATTTCTTTCTGCCTATTTGTTTCACAATCGGTTCCTGATTGGTTCGCTCATTGCCAGACATCCCTGTTACTGATCTTTTCTGGCCATCTGATCTTGAGTATTGAGCGGAGACAGCTGTTAATGAAGGTTTGAAGTTTGTTTGAGATGCTCTTTATGACTCGCCAAGTCTCTGATCCGTATAGTAGCACTGACTTCACATTGGAGTTGAAAATCCGGATCTTATTTTTGATGGTGAGTGCTGTTGACCTCCACACAGACTTGACGTAAGTAATGAAAGCTTGTCTTGCTTTTCCGATTCTGGCTTTGATGTCCTCGTCAGTTCCGCCTGTAGTTGAGACGATGCTTCCCAGGTAGGTGAAGGAGGTTGTTTCTTTCAGGTTCTTCCCACTTATGCTGATTGTTGTCTGTTGTTGTTGTTGAAAATAAAATAAAGTTACCTTATACAGTAATATAATCTAGCACAGGTACTGCGCTACATTTTTACACTCATAAAAACCATTGTGGGAGTGCGTTTAATGTAGAATTCTATTCACTGGTTTGGAGAAGCAGGAAATTGGTATAAACTACCTAAAACGCTTGAAAAGCCATTAACGGCCTACAGTATAATTATTTGCATTCCTATTATTTTTCGAATATTGAAATCCAGTCAATTTTGAATTTTATCTCTAGCAAATTACAAGTGCCTTATGAGGTAATAAAGTGCCTCACTTGAGACATAAGTTAGTGAAATGCTTAATATTTTAAGGAAGCAAGTGCTCACATTTTTTTGCATCACACTTATTCATAAGGCTCTTCACTTAGTTTACAAAAAACATTTTTTTAAACTCGTGGATTAAATTGAAAATAAGGGATAAAATTGAAGTAGTACCTAATTATTGTGCGCGTATACCTCTTCGCTAATTCAAGTTACATACGTCAAACATAAAAGGATGCATTCAAATAGCTTTTTGTGAAAAAAAAGTTGAGAATTTTTATGTTATTATAAAATGTCAAAAATTTAGATATTTTCTGGAAATCTCAAAATGATGACAATCATTAATCGAATTTTTATGCAATGTTCTCCATCGTCAGCGTTTAGCCTTCTTTCTCAGGGGATTTCCAAAAATGTTAGTCACTGAGTCGTTCATTTATGTAAGTGGATTATCAATATAGACTGAGGCAAATTGAGGTTATCTAACAATGAATAACATTCATTGTTGTTGTGTCTGTTTAATTAAGGAAACATTCAGTGCATGAATCTCTTCGTAAGGATCTTATGGTAAAGATATGCTAGCATTTGACAGCTTGTGACAACAACTCACGATGCCAGAAACTATTCACTGTTGTGTACAAATAGTCTGAGCTGGTGAACACAGTTGTATGAATCTTGACAACTATCTTATACTTTAACATTACAGTAACAGAAAGATATTAGAAGCTTTATTCAAATTCTTGTTAGGAGAATTTTTTTACGTTTCACGTTCTGTCTAATCAACACCGAATATTTGTTTAATAAAACAGAAATTTGAGAAAAAAGAGCTGTTTTCATAATTCTTCGTTTCTATTTCAAATCTTAACTTGTGAAGAATGTTCCATAACTTTAGAGTGAAATATGGGGACGGGAATCACGTGGGCGTTAGCCACATTGAAAACTTTAGTTTTTATCATATCTTTCTTTTCTTCGGTAAGTGGATTGTAACACAGAAGCATAACACCTACTGCCCATAGAATAGCCAGAATAGCTTTCATCAGTCCAGTAATAATACTAAGTGTCACTTATTAAGTGTAACGGTATACGTTTCGTTCAGTCTTAATACTCTTAGTTGATTCCAGTGAAAATAATAGGTTGTCTTCTGAACATCTTTAAAGTAAGTTGTTTGTCATCGACTGTATACAGGCTAAAACAACGGTCAGTATATTTATCTCCAATTCCAAGCACACATTTTTGAGGTTATCTTGCTCTTCACTGGAAAAAATTCAATCATACGACTAGGTGGGAAAAAATCATGGTACTTGTTACGTCACAGTTCAGTTCAGAAAAAAATCCTAAAGGTCTGATGTTAGTCCTTTTTTTCAAATCTTTAGAACTATTTGTGAATAATGCAACAAACTGCCTACTGATAGACGAGATCATTATGAAAATGAATATTTTAGAGAAAAAGCCTTCTTTTGCCTTTACCTTGTTCCATAATAGTGTCCAGAAAACATAACATGTTCGATGAATTCATCTTTATTTACGGCGGCATCAAACTCTTCATTTGATATGAAATAATAATCTGAAGTAAGAGAAAATTTGCATTCTTCATTTGTACATCATTACATAGATATTTAATTCAGATCTAAAAGTCTAACACTAATATGCTATTTTATCATCAAATGGAATGTGTTTATCAAATGACTTACTTTGAAACTAAGTGTACAGCTGTTGCTAAACTTAAGTCACATGGCATATAATGTACATCCGCCTATCTATTTTCATAAATTGTTATTTTTATGAAGTATCACACTTTAAGTTATTGTTCTTCAATGGGCTTAATACCTGAAAATTAGTAACTTCAAGAAACAGATTGTTCTGTGTAATATTTTCAGCTATTATATTGTGGTGAGATCTGTCAGCGATTAGGCTGTTACTTGAGACGCTGCTGGAAGGTCAGGAGAAAGCAGCATAAAGAAGTGCGAGGCGAAATACCGACGAATGTGCGACAGGGTCAGGCAAACAGTTTCCAAAGTGAGAAGGACCACATATGGTCACTTTGAGATGGGGTTACGCAGACACAATCGCAATGGCAAACAGAGAGAAGCAGGTGAAAATCAGCGAGTGCCGAGATTCCAGACAGCAACACAAACGAACAAAGCCCTTAGAACCAAGAAGACCGAACCAACTTCAGTCGCAAGTCTTTGACGATGGGACAAGTGTGGTGAAAGCTGGCTGTTAGTCAAAGTTGGTGGACAGTAATTTACGTCAATGTTTATGTCCCCAATATTGGTCGTGAGGAAAATGAGAGCAAAAGCTTTGTGTAGGAGGATACAGTTAACATAAAGATTATCTGACGTTCGCGAAACAGCCATAAAAAGATGCGAGGTTAACTTTCTGTGAGAAACAATCAATCAGAAGACTGTGTTTTTCCACTAACAATAACCTATAACATGTACATGGAAGTCTATAAATATGTGTCGATTTCCTTAATAAACGATCTGTTGCCTGGCCCTTGTCTTCTGTTGTTACAATATGAGTACAGCCTTTTTTTAGCTATCAGTAAACAAACAAACACATAGGTGAAATAACAGTTACTCGACTATGACACAGACTGATGGTTGCGCAATATATATATATATATATTCAAACAATTAGTCCCTTTGATAAATATGAATAAGGCATTTAGAAGAGAAGTGTCGCGAGTGACATGTTTGTCCTTAAGGGCCCGGAAAAGATGCACGAGTGACAGATTTACGGATGAGCTTCGAAATATACATTCAGTTTTATTAGATAATGGTTATCTAGATAACTTCATCAGTTGTCACAGTAAGGATAGACCACACCTAGAAAAGACAGCTTGCCGACCAAAGAAAGCTATCTTTATTAACCTACCATTCAAGGGTGACCAGATTATGCTGCTGACAGCTCAAAAACTTCGGCTAGCCATCAAACGCGCATTCTACGCCACATCTCTTTCTCTCACATGCTGAAAAGTTTCTACCCCTGTACCTACGATTAAAGGACGAAATTCTGTGGACTCTACTTCAAACTCTATCCACAAGTTCACTTGCAGTTGTGGTGACACACACTATATAGGTAGAACCAATAGAATGTTCCAATGTCGTCGAAAAGAACATGTTCCAAAATGGCTACTAAATCATATAAAAAAACCCATTGCGATTAATCTGAAAAGAAATACAGCATCATCCATTTCAAAACACTTATTAATGTCTGGTCACAAAATCAGTATTAATGACTGTTTCACAATTATTTCACATAACTCTAATTCAAGGTTATTGAAGGTGATGGAAGCACTTTGGATTAATCACATTCAGCCTAAACTGTGTGTACAAAATACAATAGGCTTCAGCCTTCACCTACCAGGGACTACTTGACCTATTCAAATATGATTGGTCATTAGCGTGTACTTTTGTCTTTTATTTAACCGAGTAATTTTCATGAACTTTATTTTATCATTGTTAACCATGTTAGTTGTAAAGCGGTTGTAAAGAAACTACGAAATGATATCATCTCGCGAAATTCGTCTTCTAAAAGCCTTATTCAAATATTTATATTTCGTGAATTAGCGGCAATTTGAATTGTAACTATTGTAACTAGAAGATCCCTAGTTCAAACCCCATTAGATACGTACATCTGAAGAGTTCTGAAGTCAGACGAGACGACTGTCAAGTACTCCCTGGTTTTCCAGTCGTTATCTGACTGGTGTCAACTCGTGAATAAACCTATAAGCAATCAAAACCTGCAAACCAACACATGAAATCCTTTTTTTATCCAACTAATAGAAATATTTTCAGACTTTTATTTTCAAACTGAATTTATCACAATTATTCACTAATAAATTAGAATTGCTTTGCAAATATTATAATTAAATCAAAGGGAAATTATTTTCCAATGGAAATTTTAGAAAAAATTTGCTTATTTCCAACAGAATTCTCAAAATTTATTGTCTTTCAAACTTTTTCACATTTTTCCTCACAGAGTATTTCTATTTTTTAATTCATTTTGATGCAATTTAGTTTTACCGCCTGAGTAAATACTTCACGATTTATTGCTGAATGAGTTCAAAATCCAACCTGCGCAGGACAATTACGAAAGTTCGTAGTGATCAGCAGCTGTGGTAATTCAAACCTATGGAATCACATCTACAATCATTTGAAATCCAAAGAATTGGAGACTAGATAATACACTTCAAACTACATTAGTTCACTTCAAACAGTCAATTATTTAGCTGCTTTGATAGAATATGTGGTGTTGATCGCCCATACTGCTTCTCGTCTTTACTCGAGACGATAATGAAAAATGTACACCTAATGAGCCATAGTGAATACATATTTCCTTTATATTTCTTTTTGATTTATTTCTGAACTGCGATAACAGAAGAACATTACCTATGTTTTCTACCTGTATTTAATTACTAGTTTGCAAATTTTGCATTTTATCAACTGTATCATATTTATAGAAAATTGGAATGTTAAAAAAATTGAAAGGCTTTTATAATTCTAACAATAGTAAATTACCTTTTCCGTGAATTTCATCTGGTCGTCTCGGTCGAGTGGTATCTGAAATTGTAAATCAATAAGATTTCACTTACATAAGTCAAATGTATTCACACATCAATGATTTATCATAAATTTATAGTTGATGAATGCATTCACCAAATTATCAGTTTATCATAGAAAACTTATCATGAATAACGAATTCTGTGAGCTATCTTAGTGATTTTAAAACATCCCATTTGATGTTATACCCTTAGAGTTCACTTTGAAGGTTGAAATTCGGATAAATTGTAAAGATAACTTAATAACAAGCTTTAGGTTTTCTAATTGGTTGGGATACAACAGCAATGCTATTTGTTTTTGAAGCATTTTCAGATTAAAAAGTTTTGGGTAGCATAAATCCATGAGAATTAATTTGATGGTAAAAATGAAATCCCTCTTCGTAAAAGGCGAAATTACACTACATGGTGTTACGGGAATAAAAAGTAGCAATGTTCCTTAATTTGGTAGGCTTCATATCGAGAAGAAGCAGAACAGTTTGAGATATTCACAATATTTATGTTATTTCGGGAAGTCCCTAATTGTTTTCTTCCTTAGATTACAGACGATGCAACGAATGTTACTGTTAAATGCAAGTGGCAATTAATTTCACCCCAGATCATACTTAGAATTCAAGATTACCACTTATATGTTAGTTGATAAAGGTATTTATATGAGCTATGCATAAATTCACCAAGCGTGGTAGAGGTAAGAAACATTGATCCTAGTAATAACAAAACTAGACGAAAATAAATGGAGTTCGTTAACTACTTCTCAATATTGGCAGCTTGCTTAAAACTTGGACTACCAAAGACTTCCATCTGTCTGTTGCATATATTTTCTCTCATTCGCTTTGTTTAAATCGATTGAGATATGACATCTAGTGGTAATATCTACTATTGTGTGATTTTATCATTTTTGCAATCTCCTGATTCTCAAGTTCCTACTAAATTTGAGGAAAGGGCTGACTGTGAATGGCAACGTGTTCCAGTACATGAGATAACTGTTCTTCAGTTAAGTCTTCGGATTTCAAAATATACTTCTAAATATCTTACAGTTGGCTTCCAACTAGAGATCGTGGATTTTTTGAAGGAGGTAAAGTGGATATATCATAATGGAATGATTTCTGCTTCAGCTAAGAGAGCAATGTGTCACAGTATATACTGTCAGTTAATATTTTACTTGAAGATAATGTACGAAGTGAGAATATCATGCAGTACACTCCTCTGAAAATTCTGTTTATTTTATAAACACTGTCCAGAATAAAGATATTATTATAAGTTGGAGGATTTTATCATGAGCTGACATCAGTTAGGCAACCATTGGAAACCCTGCAGGGAGTACTGGGCAGCTGTTTGATGTTAGTTTACGACTCTTCAGAAGTACGCACCCACCACAGGAGGTTCAAAACCAGGACATTCCCGTAACAAGGCCAGCGAGCTCGTAGACCATTAAGCCACTGGGACCCACCGATCCAACAGCTAGTCCATGAGTTCCAACCTCTACCAATTCATGGCATAGTGCGACTACTTCACAATGTCTTCTTAGGTGAGTTACTGACTCATCTTTAACTTGCTTTAGCCTACTTGTAACAGCTTCCCACTGGAACCCCAGGTCACTGCCTGAATAAAACCAGTCGCTAGTGAGCATCAGTCCCAAACTATGACGAAGCAGCTGTTCAGTACTCCCTGAAGGTTTTCCAGTGTCTCTCTAACTGATGTCAGCTCATGATGAAATCCTCCAACCAATCAAACAAAACCCCTAGCAAGATCAATACTTGAAAATATTATTATTAGTTCTGTAGTTCAACCTTTTCAACTGTACAACCTTAAAAAGTCATATTAATTGCTGTTATTCCTGTTATACTAACCAGTATTCAAAGCCGATGAATATCATGTTTCTTAGCATAAATAGGACAGTAGGAGTTGGAAGTGAAATGTTTCAAAAGAAATAATTCTTGGCTCAACAATTTACTTTTCTTTTCCCATGAATAAATGGATGCATTTCGTTACTTGAAGTATTATACGAGGATTTATTTTGAAAAGAAAAACAGACGACACAGTGAATGAGATGGGTAAAAATCAACAGAAACAATACTGATGAGCTCAGAAATGACAATTTTCTAATTCTTTCTAACTCATGTGAAGTAGCTGATGTACATTTTAACTTATTAGTTTCTACTTCATAGCTATTTAACCTTATATACACAGTTTCAAGACTGTTCTGTTTACTATTGCTACACATAGTAACAGTGAATAGTTACGACACTGTCATATTACGTAATCCTACAAAATTAATTAGGAGGGGTACAGTTTATTAAAACAACTTACGTGATACACAATAACGGAATGAATTTGGATATCTAGTGATAAGTGTTCGTATACAGGTACTTTTGCCACATCCAGAAGGACCGCATATTACAACAGGTCGTTTTAAATCTAAATTGAGTTCACTCATAAGTTATTCCAGTTTTTTGTCTTCAACCAAAGTTATTCTCTCCTAAAATAGGAAAGTTAGAGAAGAGAATTAATTACAAGAGAAGACCAACTACTACAATTTAATTTATTATATTATACAATTGGATCTTAGTTTTATTGTAAGTAACCACAGAGCAAAGGAATGATCTCTCTTTGAAACAAATAATGGCCACCAGACTAAATGCAGGTGCGTTGGTGGCACGGTGATAGAGTCCTTGCCAACCACTCAGGTGGTTCGAGTTTGTTCCCCGGCCAACGCACTCCTTTACCTTGCCAGTAGTAAGAGTGGTAAAGTGGGGAGGTTGGGCATGAAGAAAGTAACCCCATCCTGTGAAAATAATCATCACTGCTTCAGAAACTTCAAGCATCTGTCTTGAAGCCCTATGTTCAACTGGTAAAGTCAAGGAATAAAAAGACGAAATGCAACTGTTAACATCTGAATATTTTGTATAAGAAACAAGTCGTTCCCAGCCAAATCACAGTGCCGAGGAAGACTCTTTATGAGTTTGGTGTTCAATGGTGACACTATTTCTGAAGTCATTAAAGTTCGTTTATCTAAGCGTGTTAAGCGCTCTTACATTTAGTATTCACCAGCCGTAATATTATTTGACAATGCATAAAGGATAAACTAACGCCTATGTTTACCTCTATGTGCATATACTCGTTCACATGCTCTCGTGGAGCTGATTACATAGAACTTTGTAAGCGTGTTCTCTGTAACCACTTAGCTGAACACTACCCGGTTTAGTTAATGAAAGGTGAGCATAGGATAACGAAATCTTCGGTCCGTGAATACCTTCTGGATTCAGGTCATTCAGCCTCACGTAATTTATCCTTCAAAGTTATGTACACATCCAAATCCAAACACGGTGAAAGCTTACGTTTTCTCCACTTATGCATAGCCGAAGCCCTGGCTATACATGGATAGAAACCTAAATTATCCGCTCAAAAACGTTTTCTCAAACCCATTTGCTTATCTTGGTCATAGTAATGTTCTTTTATTTTATTATATTTTGCAGCAAAGACAGGACGTCAGGTAAACATACAGAAGGTGGAGGTGATGAAGAAAAACAACCAATAGCAACAGTAACAACAAACAGCACTAATCATTCGGAGAGATTTGATAGAGGTGATTTCAATCACTTATTCGCATAGGAAGCGCGGTTTCAACCACAGGCAACAGAATGAATGAACATATCAAAGCAAGCCAGCCAGAATTGGAAAGGTAACATCCGCCTTCACCAACTTGAACCCAGTTGGGAAATCCTCTGCTTTACTCAACAGCATAAGGGGAAAAATTCGCATTTTCAACAACAATGTGAAGTCGGTCCTTCTAAACGGATCAGAAACTTAGCGAGTCACAAAAAGGATTTCCAAAAGGTTACGGCACACTCACATCAACAGTTGCAACCTTCTCTCCATGCCCAAGATTAAATGGCCATAAAGAATTAGTAATAGGAAAATCTAGGGACAAACCAACCAAGAGCCGATCGCTCAATATCTATGTATGAGAAAATGAAGGTGGATTGGGCATACATTGAAGAAACCGTCAAATGACATCGCGCACCAGGCAGTGACTCGAGCGGAATCAAAATGGCAAGCGATGAGTTGGTGGTCAGTGCCGTGGTGACATGGAGAAGATCGTGTGAGGAAGAGATGAGAGAGTTGAATTGTATGGTAGAAAATATAAGAAAGAGGAGATGTGTTGCTGAAGTCCTATGTTCCACTTGGAACCCAAAAGAACGATAATAATATACTCGAATTCACTACACTTCACTTCATCTTCGGCGTCTTTACTGTTATCATTATCGTACTGTTAATTTTTAAAGGCAACGATTGACCTGCTTTATGCCAATTCACTTATTAATTAATTTTCAAGAGTTTTGTAATTCATTTACTTCAACTCTACCCGACTGGTATATTATTTTAATTATCTTTATTCTTATCATATGTGTAATATTAACTGAGCAGTTTCTAGTGCCATTTAATGCCTCTCTCCATAATATAAATACGACTGTACAGCTTGAAGATGAAGTCGCTGAAAAAAGGGACAGTTCTTCGCTGGATAAAAACTGTGTTTTCCTTATAACATAATACTGTCAAAAGCAGTAGGATAGTTGTTGTAAACACTTCTGCGCCTCTCATTTTTATTATTTACATATAACGGTAAAATAAGCGTCAGAAAATTTTCCCTTAGTAATTTGTAAGTTTCAAATATTGCTTGTAAAATTATACAGAAGACACATATTTACTATGACATAATATTTTGTTGGCCTGAATAGTTGCTTCAGACATCACTATGCGAAACACATATAGAGGATGTTGAATAAAAATTAATTTCCTAATATTGATTTTAATTCACTGATAAGTTGGTACTCGTTTAGTATGAATGTCACGTTAAAATTAAATTTTAGCATTGATAACTTGACAAGACACCAATCTTTTTTTTTTATCTTTGAAAGTTATGTTATGTTTTATATTTTTGTTAAATACTACAGCAAAATAAGTAGTCTATTGTAAATAAATTTGAAAATTGATTATTTTCTGGTGAGTAGGAAATAAGACGTGAAAGATAAAAGCAGGCCTAATGTTTAACGTATAAGCCACCCCGAAATTGGAGAAAGTTTGTTGTAGTTTGAAATGGTCTTCAGCTACTTTTAGTTGACTTTTATAGTTCCTTATAGCCCGCCTAGTCAACTCTTTTGGTTTGTGTCTACATGAAATGAAGTGTCTGTCTTTCCTCTCATCTTGTGGTGTGAGCTGGCTGCAAGCAAAATTTATAGACAACAATTTATGTCAATGTTCACATCCCGAATGAGGGCCCTGAGAAAAACTTAAAAAAGCTTAACCTTGAGGAACTCACCAACCAATCACAGTTGGCTTAGCGTGTGCAAATACGAGTTGCAGATATGTGGCTTAGCTTTCTAAGAAACGATCACGAGCAGTACACAATAACCTTCAGCAAGAAAACAACCAATCAAAAGAGGTTGCTTCTCCGCTAACAATAATTTACATAAAAATCTATAAATATCTCTTGATTTTCACAATGAACAATCTATTCCCCGGCCCTTGTCTTCTATCGTTACAATATTAGCAGTAGGTAGGTTTAAGTATGTTCGGACGAAGTCAGGAGGTCTGATTGCATGATATTCCTCAGCTTACATCAAACCATAGAGGGCAATAAACAACTGTCACCCCTAATTAATGGGTTTGGTGGTGGATAACAGTTAAATCTAAAATGAGGTTTTCATCTTGTTTGGAATATGTCAATTAAATGTACAAACATTTCAGCAGGTAACTAACCGTCTTCCCACTGATACTGTCGTCTACTCAGTCACCAGAGTCTTTCCACTAGCTAACCAAGTCATGAAAGATTTGACATAACTTCTTTATTTTTCATTGGACACCAGTCAGTAACTAGTGTAATGTGTCTGGTGCTTTATTTATTTAATTATTTTCGATTACAGCTTGATTCCACACCGTATTTTTGGTACATGTATGGAATTTTCAGCATGGATATCGGTAGCCCAAATTTTGCAGGCCGATCATAGATATCAGGTGTGTATCGGCAAGGGATCGAACCTCGGACCATGTGTATGGTCGGCGAGAATTCTAACCACTGTGCCACCGACGCACATACTGAATTCAATCAGTCAAGTTTGCAGTATGAACACACGCTATGTGGTTTGCCATCAAAGTGTACTGTAAATTGGTTATATTGGATGGTTGGTGTGCTAACTAGCAGAAAGCCTAGGTCCAGAGCTTCCCGTCAATTGCCTTCAACTATCTAATACCGACAATTCACAGTGCACTGTGATGGCAAGCCACCTAGTATGGAGGCCACATTGCAAACTTGTCTGAGAGAAGTCAGTTTGCATCAAACAAAGCACTAGACACATTACACCAGTTACTAACTAGTATCTAATCAAAATATACAATACAGTCCTACATAAGGTCAGTTGCTGACTGTTGCACTGGATGATGTGGGTACGAATCTTAGAAGAGGCATGAGTTCCTTAAAGTTAGCAGGTACGCCTTACTGACTGGTGAGTGCCTCTTAGGTCGAAATCCAGTTGGAAGGCTTCCTCCCTATTGCCTTCAGTCATCCAATACAAATAACGTCTTTATACTTCTGGTTCAGATTGAGTCACACAACAATTGTTATATTGGAGCTCAAGGAACCTAAAGTAGGTCTGGTCAACTCAATGCGAAAACACCAATACGAAACTAAAAGTATTAGTGGGTAACTATCATCCACGTTACAAGCTTAAAATTAGATTAATGTTTAGAAAAAACACCAGTAGATGCATCTCAGGAACTCCATGCATTTCTTAACATTTCCCCAAATAATGAATTTGAAACCAGTCTGCCAACATAGAGTAAAAAATATCGCAGCGAGATTGCTCTCGGTTTCTTCGGGAAAAAATTCTATATTATTGTTCGTTACATTATACTAAAAGTTGTGTAGAAACGTTTGGTTTTACAAGGGAGAAAGGAAATGTGTGCGAAGCTCTATCTTAGAACACCTCATCGACTCCTGTCACGCGGTCAACCCTGACCATGATTTCAAGGTCTTATATAGAATTCATGCCAACTTCCCGCGTTTTCTTCGTTACAGACTTCTAAAGACAGCTGAGGCCTTGGCAATTCATGACTTTAAGCCAGACCTTTGTGTACAAAAGAAGTATGTACAATCCCTACTGCTGCCTTGGCCGTAGAGGGATAGACATTTATTTATTTTATTATTCTATGTACTTTTCCCTTATTACTTCGATTATTATTATTATTATCATTATTATTATTATCATTATTATTATTATTACGACTCTCATTCTGAATCTTTTCCACTTGATCTACTTGACATTTTAAACCAAAAATTATTCATGTGTATACTTTTTATCTTTATTTTTACAATATTAAATTCTATGTTATCAAATTTCACACCATGTTACGTAACATTTTACATTCGTCTATTAATCTTACAATTATATGCCTCTCCCCAAAATCTATACACCCGATGTA